AAGTGCTGGGGAGTAACTAGTTACATGTAACAGAATTACGTAATTTAATTACAAAATAAATGTAACTGTAATCTGTTACAATTACTGAGAAAAAAATGTGTAATTAAAATGTTAGGCTACTTATGAATATGTTAACGATTACAAAGGGGGTTACATCAATGGGCCTATTCTCTCTCTCTCTCTCTCTCTCTCTCTCTCTCTCTCTCTCTCACACACACACACACACACACACACACACAAAGATTTAATTGATTTCTTTCCCAAATTGCATTGACTGTTCTAAAATAACCAATAAAACACCAACATAATAAAACACCAATGTTTCAGGAGTTTATGACACAGAATAGGACACATTAAATTGCTATAATCTTAATTCAAGTGATGAAGGATTTTGAAAGTCTGACAGTAATCAGTGTTGAGTACTACGGTTAACCCTGCCTGGTTTAAATGTTTGAAAATGATTAATAGTTGAAAACATTTATTAGAAATTTAGAAGTAATCAAAAAGTATTCAATTATAATTATTTACACTAGTTTAATGAAGTAATTTAAATATTTACACTACTTATTACATTTTAAATAGGGTAACTTGTAATCTGTAACCTATTACATTTCCAACGTAACCTTACCAACAGTGTTTATAACAGATACCACGTGATCTACGCCGTCCTCATCTACCTTTTTTGATTGAAGACCATTATTATTATTATTATTGTTGTTGTTGTTGTTGTTGTTGAATAAACCCTACCTGTTTTTAGAAACACTGTTTTATAATAATTCCCATTCTTTCCACTTTCTATTTCTTCGAATATCTATGAATATGAAAAGATTTTACAAACAACAGTCTCATTTGGGATTTCTGTGTACACTCTAAAAAATAATTATAAAAAAAATTAACGCAACAGTTTGCATCAATTTTTTTGAGTTAAGGCAACTTCTTCTGAAATTAAGTTCAACTAATAAACTATATTGTGCTATATATACTTAGAAAATTGTGTTAAAACTAACAATTATTAAGCTGAATACTCAAAAATTAAGTTGTTCTAAGATGTTTTTTCACATTGTTTTAAATTTGATTCAATCATGCACACTGGTTACAAAAACTACTAAAATATTATTTTTTGATAAAACAACACTTAATGCTGCCAGAAAACCAATCTTTTAGCATTTTCAACCAAATACCTTCTGATTAAAACAGCACTTAAGACAATGGTCAGTGAGTCTGTTCTCAACCTAAGCAAATGCTCTACTCTTCAGCACAATGGTAATCTCATAAAAACCACCAACATAACAGAAACACTTTTAAATACTAATATAACCGAACACTGAACATTAATAAATCTTCTCCTGTTCTGATCTTGAATAGAAATGCATAAAATATGAGTTTATTTCTACATTACCGCTCATTATTCACCGAAGAGGTGAATGCAACACAATTATTCAGAAATTATCAAAAGTGCACACAGACTGACACCTGCTGTTTTATTAAACGGTGTTTATACATAAATGTGATGAATGTAACAAAACAGCTCTTTAAATGTTTTTAACGGACACATTGCAAATTTATGAAACATTGTGAGCTCTGATTATGAGTAAGCACAGCGCAGAGGAAGGAACTTGACTAGGGTGTCTATTTGAGACCGCATTATCTAAATGACATTATGGAGCTGAAGTGGCTTTTCTCAGATTTTAGCTAGTTTAGCTTAACTAAACTGTTCTTATAGCAAAAAATGCTTTAATGGCTTTTCAGGACACTAAAGTGTATGACATGACGTGTGTGGTATTTCACTTTTGTGGAATCTGTTGACCGGTTTCCCTACCTTTTACAAGTTCAATAGGCTGATTTATAAAGTGTCAATGGGCCTTTCATGGTTGTTTAATCCGATTCAGAGGAAGCTAAAAGGCTTTCAGCTTTGTTCTGGTCATACATTAACGCGTCTTGCAACCCTTTTATTTATTTTATGATTTCTGAGTGGTAATCAGAAAGAAATGTGTAACGGACTGTCACATGATGACAGTTAGGAATCTGTGCTGTATAAACTGAAAGTTAAATATCTCAATTGCAGATTAGATGGATGGTCAAACAGAACAGCAAGTTCTGAGGTTTCAGTCCCTATTTTTTCACCAAATTATGTCATTCCTGCAGGTGGATCATTTAAAACCAGTGATTATCAGTGTGAATGTGATAAACATCTAAACCGTATCAGTCTTTAACACTAAAATAGCTTTAGTGTATTACTGATGCAGTTAAAGTCAATAGTCCCCATAAAATAGTGAGACCAGTAAACATTATTATAGAACCTACAGCAGATATAAAGTATCTGCTGAATCATTGAAAATATAACAAAATGCAGTAACAAAAGACGGACAAAAACAAGTTTGTTACTGATTTTCTGTACAGGGATTTGTGTTTGTGTGTGTGTTATGAACCAGCATGGATTCTGCTTAGATTATAAAGCTCAGATTTATTTCCAGTGAATCTGCTTAATTTCTTGATTTTATGCACACAGACCTCAACGTAAAGATGAGCTGTAACACTGAATTGCAAAGCTGTTATTAACTAGGCCTACCCCAATATGCTTCATTAATTAAACAATTCTTTGAAACTGTAATTGCGTTTAGTGTGCATTCAATTTATAACTGATATATCATCAAAATAAAGGAAAAGGGTCATTTAAGATGACTCAAATTTAATGATTTAATAATTCAATTAATAATAATAATCAACTCTTCCCAACAGTAGATGGCGCACTTGTCCTAATCTTTCGTTCACGAGCAGTCATTTCCGCCCGCCGGATATTATAGTGGCGGCGGTTGTTATGAAAATGTGACGTTTTTTGTTTTTGTTT